AAGGAGAAGGAGAAGGAGAAGGAGAGGAGGAGGAGAGGAGGAGGAAAGATCCAGATGAAACAGCCATTCCTCTGGACAGGAAAAGATTATCAAAATAGACTACTAGATTAATTAAATGACAATTCAGCAAAGCTGCCCATTAGATGTCCAGAGCCCTAAATGAATTTCCACTTTAAAATTAGGAATGGCTCAGCTCATTTGGCAAAAGATGACAAAGTTTGGAGGAAATCAGGGTTGTTGAATCTCCAAGATCTCTAATATTGCCTTTGCAAAAAGAACCTGTTCTGCTTGGCTATTTATCCTTTGAATTCATAGCTCAATAGATACTTACATATCAGTGCTGTTCAACGCAAAATATGGGCAGATGTTGTGGAGCAAAATGTGGAGAAAAGTGAAAGGTTCTTTTAGAGTGAAAGAAAAACAACTTTAAAACATACCAAGGAAGGCTTATAGCAAAGAAATGTAACTTTTGGGTCTTTCCCCCCACATTCACTGAGTCTTACTTTAATCAATCATGAAGATGATTTTTTCTTGTATGTAGATAACACATCTTTGGACAAAAGGTTTTGGGTGAACCATAGCAGATGGTCTGTTAGAAAAAAATGTTATAATTTCAGCAACATAACCTATAATTAAGCCAGTGAATCTTTCTTCCCCAGACTAGTGGCCTCTAGATGTTGTGGGAATACAACAGTAGAATTCACAGCCAGTGTGACTGATGCTTGGGAATTCTTGGAACTGTAGCCTCAACAACTTTGGACTGCACTGGAAAAAGGCATCATGCAAAAATGATGCAAAATCCTTACTATGGCAAATCAAATTCAGGTCTCAGATCTGATTAATCTGTAAGTAAAACCTAGTACGCCACTATAGCAGTTTGAAGCAGTTGCTCCAATAAGTTTTAAGAAACAGCTACATTTAATGCATGACTTCTTCACATTATCAAACTAGAGGGGTATGGGTGTGGGTCTTTAAGAGCAGAATTCAGGTGTTCCCCAGAAGCAAAGCAAAGGGGCCTCCTGCCACTGGTGTGCATTCTTTAACACTGTGCATCATTCTTCCTTTAAAAGAAACTGAAGCCACAGTCCAACATACAGGTCCCAGAGAAGTTCTACTGGGCTCAGTAGGCTTCATTTTTAAATAGGCCAGCACAGACTGATACTGTTAAACTTTTCTGATTCCTCCCTCCCTGCCCCGTATTTTCACAGAGATAGCTCAGCTACTGCTCTTTAGCCAAGTGGAAGGCAAGATTTATTTTACAGACTTAACAGCAGAGTCCAGAATAAATACAGGGACTGTTGTCAAATTCAGCATAGTTACTTTTTATTACATAATGGCTTCAGTACTTTGTTGGAGTTGGGGGGCAGTGGACACACACTGAGATTGTTATTTTAGAGGTAAAATTGTTGCTTTACAGAAAGGGAGGAAAAGGGAGGAAAGTTAGTTTGGAAAAATAGAACACGTAGATGATGTATCAGCCCCACATTCACAAGGTGCTAAGGTTGTCCCACTTAAGTTAAATGGGTCTTGATACTCCAGCTATCTAATGGTATGTACTTGCAGCAATATACCACTTATAAGCATGCGTCAAGATAACACATTTTATTGCTACAATTAACTCTGATTTCAAATAACAGAGCAGAACATAGACAAGCAATGGCATTGGCTTGATCTCTCTACACGCAGGTTTTAATTATATAGACTAAGGCTACTAGATCTGGACTGCAAAAATTGCTAAATGACAACAGTGAGATACAGAAAATTCTCAACTTTTTGTTGCATCTAGTGGTTCCCTGGATTTTTGCAGGCTCAGAATACATACAGCTGAGAAAATGAATCAATCCCTTAGCCTTGTGCCTTTCTTTGGATCACCTGCTGCTTCTGAACTCATAAGTAATCTTTGTGCTTGAAAATGCGCTTGTGTGGTCCCTAACCACCTGAATATATTTAATAGGTTTTGAGAACATACACACACACACACTGCTTCTAAAACAAAGTTTGCAAAGAGAAACAGCCAGAAAATCCAAAAGATCCTTAAAAAGCATGAAGAGACATCTTGGAATCCACTAATGGGCTATTCCAATTATTTGGACTATAACCATTTTCAATACGAAAAAAAAAATTGAAAATCTTAGAATAAGCCAGATGGGAAAATGCCAAGAGAATTCCTAAAAGCATAGCATTCCCACCAAGCTGCAGTCAACAGATGTAAACCCTATTTAGGGACCTATGAAAAGATATAAACAAAGACCAAACATTAGCGCATCACCTTAATACACAGCAGCACTACCCCTATCACACAGCAATCAGCCATCACTTAGATAAACAAGACGTTTCCTGTATCTACCTAAGAACCCAAACCAGCAACATGATTACAGAAAAAGAACACTGTCCCACTACTTTTGTAGTAGTATCACAATACTCCAAAACTGCTCCTCCATTGATGATGTTACCTAATAGGACAGTGAATGTCTGCAACCAAAGCTTGGAGAAATGCAACCATGCAACACGCTAAACCCAAGTTACGTGTACTCACTACCATCACGACCTGATCTTAATCAGTTTATCAGGAGGTGACCATTCCATTCCCTCTCGTGCAGGATTGTTGCAAGAAACTTTAAAAAGATAAATGATATGGTACAAACACTGGAATGTGTTATATAACATTATGGCACCATTAAGTAAAGTAATCTTTTCCAGCTGCAGTACGTCTGAACCAAAAAAAAGGGGGGGGGGACACTTATGTCCCCTTATATGAGTGTGAAAGAGAGCAAACTTTGTTGCACAATTCTTTATTCTGCAAGGGGACTACGATCATGCAATTGAATAGGACAGAGGCTATGAATATTTTATTGTAATACACATAAAGGAATTCACTGGAACAAGGAGGTATTTTATAAAATTAAGTACTCTTAATAGGGCAGTTGTTGCATCAGAAATAAAGGGTAAAATTCCCTTTCATTCCAAAAGCTGACATTCTGAAATACAGCTACAATTTTGATGTTACTCATGAATAGAGGACAGATTCTAGAACTGGTCTATGACATCTTTGATGTCTGATTTTATTACAAGATGCAGACTTGAATATCCTGCCAATTCTCAAGCCTTAGCAGGGATTTTCAAACAAATGCTCCAACTCCCAGCTGCCCTTTTTAATGCCAGACTGATTTACATTAGAAGAGTCCCGAGAATGTCATCTGCTTCCCCTTCATCTCAACAGCCTCTTTCTCTTCTTCTTCCCTTGTTTGCTGTCTGCATCTTCAGGATGGTCAGGAGGGTCTGGCATTACAAAACCGTCCGTCAATTTATAGTAGACAATTGTAGAGTCCGTTTCAACTATTGCCAGTGTGATGGAAAGTGGGGAATCAGGTTTCGCCTGCATAATGTGTGTGCTCTTCATGATCTGTCTTAACCTGGAAAAAATGGAAGGAGGGAAGGAGGGAGGGACAGGCATCACTCTTGCCCATTTCATTTAAATTTCATCTGAAATCAACCCAGCGAATACCCTGAATTAATAATGCCCACCCTCTGTTTCTAAAAGCTTTATGATTTTTTCCGAGGACTGTGCCTCACCTATTATAATGAAGACTTTCTAGAAAACAAAGCTGACAACACTTATGTGTCACAATTCTAGAGACATTAAGGGGTTCCACACTACCCAGAAATATCTGCCGCAAACCACCATGATGCCAAAATGACATAATAATGCAAATGCTGCCATTACGTATTGGCATCCTGACATCTGGTGCAAGTGTATAAGTTGCGCTATTTGCCCGATGACATTGTCAGATATTGTATATCATCATTTGGCCCCCTCCTGTGAAAGCCTGTGCCAATACCTCTTGATACAGTTGCACCATCAATGGCCATTGGCTAATGACAGCTGGGAAGGTAAGAAGTCGGGGTGGATTAGCTATTAGCCAAGACAATGAAATGGTTCCTCCAAATGCCAGTAGCAGGAAATGAACAACATGGAAGGTGTATTTTTATGATACTTTTTGGTTTTCTGAAGGGATCTGGTTGTCTGTTGTTGGCACAAAGAAGCTGGACAACAGTTTCTTAATCTAAGATAACATATATTATTCTTCATATATTATTTGCTTCAGTCTACTAAGCCAATAAGCAGTAACTAATAGAGCATCAGCATGCTCCATTCCGGAACCATTAGAAGCCTAGGTAACAGTACCATGAAGTAGCACTGAGAAGTTGGGAGAAGTCTAATCCATGCTCTCCCCAACAACCTCAAACCCCACAATCAAGTATAAAGAGCTCTTTTCCTGTTGCCATTAGCAGTGGGTGTCCAGCCTAGATCTACCATCTCTTTGTGTTTTAAACCAACACAGGTATGTATGGCCTGAATCAAATCAGAAGCTCTATGTGTGGGAAATGAAAGTTTAAATCTTTCCTCTTCCTGTCTTCCTCAATCTCTTATGCTTACAGTAATAAAAAAGCCATGAAAAAGCCTACATGATGGAAACCTCTTCAGAAAAGCAATTCACTGGGAGATTTTTTTCGGCCATAGTGATCCTAATCCAAAGGGACAAAAGCCTTCTTCAAGCATTTGAGTGCATTTATGAGGGCTTGAAAACGGGCAGAGGAAAGGGACAAGCACGCTGCCACCACTTCCTACTTTCTCTGATCTCCCTATGTTCTGTATGGAGGTGTCTGAAGGAGATATATTTGCTTGAAGGCAAGTTCATCTCTCCCTGTGATCCTGGATCCTGCTCTACTATATTCCCAGAGAGCTGTACTCATATTTAAGGAAACATAGCTGCTACCAGATGTGTCTGTCTGTCTGTGAGTGACACACTATGCTTTCTTACAAGAAATGAAAAAACAAGTTCTGGTCTTAGTATAAGGTGCTACTTTATTTAACCCACAGAGTCACACTTACAGTGTTATACTAACCTCTAACACTTCATATGTATTATTTGTTCCTCTTAGTCATTCCAGTAGGGGTAGAATTGATTCCCCAAAATGTAAAAATAAAAACATATATTTTTCACTGATTTCAGTTGGGGAAAAGGAGGACTGCAATATTACGCTGGCATTCAAACCTGAACTGAGAAATACTGGGAATTCTGAATGATTCCATAAACATTTCAGATGTTTTCTTCAGCCACTGCCAAATGACAGTGGACCCCAAATATTGATGGAAGGTGAAAAGAATGGGGTAGTGCATATAGACATACAAAGCCAAAGGAGAGTGACTGAGCACAAGTCCATGGTCCAAAAGACTAATTTTCTTTAAAGAGATCTGCAGTTCTCTATCATTTTTGTTTGTTTCAGTTGCAATAAAAATTCCAAAGACATTTGGTGACTTATCACTAGAAACATACAGAATGGTAGTCTAAACTAAGAACTTTCAGTACTTTACATAGCACAGATGTAAGCTAATACACCAACTACACCAGGGCCCTACATCAGGACCCTCTGGAATAAAACTGGCAGAAGTTACTCTGTTAGCCAACAATTTGGGACCCATTATTCATTATAGAGAAGCCAGTTCTTTGCAGTTGTCTCCCATAATGATGTTAAGAGAAAAAATGTTTACCAAGGAACCAATATGGTAGGATTTGATATCTCCTTGAAATCACCTAACTGATCTTGGCAGATCTCAAAAAACTGAGATGGGTCAGAATACTTGGAAGCGAATGAAAAGACAGCAATGACAAACCACTTCCATACTGTCCAAAGAAGCTGCATGGATGGGACCATGAGGTCACCAAGCCAATTCAACCTTTGGACATTCTCATCAAACCCTGCAAAGCTTTTAGTTTAGGGGTGGGAAACCTCTAGACCGCTGCATACTGCGGAATTGTGGTACCCAATGTCCCTCCCCATTGGCCATGCTGACAAGAAATGCTGGGAACTGTAGTTCAACAGCAGCTGGAGGATCAAAGGATTCCCACCTAACTTTAGCTGTTCCCTCCTTCCCAGCTCACAACACAATTCCCTAAATGGCAAGAATCAGCTCATTCCCTTATTTTCCATCCTTTCCCATTTCCACCAAGTCTTATAAAGCAGACAGTGTACTAATTCCCATCCACATAAGCCAGCTGCCTTCATATAGTCATGAGTACTATATTTGAAATCAAATTGCTTCTATGCCCCTCTGCAGTTATGTAAGTTCAGGTATATTCTTTTTAACAGAGCCCAAGTTAAAAAACCAAAAAAGGGAGTTGGTAGCAAAGATGTCACTGTTATTTCACCTGAAACAGGAATGTGCTAGTTGACTATCTACATATCTACTCTCTGCTGGTTATGATTTATGTGAATATCCTATAAGGGAAGTTATCTCTGGAACTAAGGAAGTCAGCACTTCTGACACCCTCAGGCATCACTGTTGGGGTGGAATTCTTGCTACAAAAGTTATTTGTGAAAGGAACAGAGAAGGGAATCAGACTGTGAAGCTCTTTATCTGTAAATACACTGAAAGCATTGTATGGCACATCTGCCATGAATGGGGATTTTGACAAGCTCTGTGTTGAACTGACAGAACAATACAGAGACTGGGCAAACTGATTTTCTACTTGAAAAGCCCTGTAGGGCCAAATATGGAAATACCAATGGGAAAGGGGGAGATGGAGACATATTTCCATATTACCTGCACCTTCATTATTTTAATATATATCAGTAGCTTTATGAGAAAATATTAATATCTTTAACATTAAGATATGTTCCTATAAATTTACTTATATTAGAATATTATGTTGAATTATGTTCCAAAAATCAGGAATTTGAATGTTTTTGAGGAATGCTGGTTGTATCTTAGCAATGAATTGCTAAGAGAATAACTTTATGGAATGGGAAAAGCACTATTATTCCAGGTATTAAGGACTGGATTCAAAGATGTGTAATCTTTGCATTTTTGAGAAGGCAATTTTTTTATAATCAAGAAATGATGCAATATGTTTCCCTTGGCACAGGTTTCATGATATTTTACAACAACAGTATTTCTTTTTAATTTGAAATGTTCATATATTATTCAGTATAGATATACAAGAGACATGCCTAGATTATTCATATTTTTCTGTTTTTCTGTTTTACTTGTTATTGTTGGTTATTAATTATGTTCCTTACTTTTGTTTATCATTTGTTTTCATATATGTTTTTAGTTAGTTAGGGTTTTTTTTGAATTTTTAAAAAACTTGTAATAAAATAAAAACATTTTAAAAGTTACCTGCATATTCTAACACTCATCTGAAGATTAGCCCCAGTTAGGTAACTACTCTGAATGCAGAAATCTTACTAACAGGAAAGGAGGAGATAGGAATGAAAAAGACCATTAAAGGGCAACATTTATTACTTAATTTTGAAAATAAAGCCAAATAGAACCTGGGGCCTTGCTGCTTGTTCTCATCTACTATAATTATCAATCATTTAGAGTAAAGTTCTATGCCCAACCACTCTGAAGAAAATCATCTTGATTTCAAAACCCATAAATGTTTTATTGGAAAGGCGAGGCTGTCTCAAAGTTTTTCTGCTTCTTTAGACCTGGGTTTCTCCCAAGGGCATCAACATCTTGTGTCTCTTATGCCTTTGGGGCTCCATAAAGAGCTACAACAGAGGCCAGCACCTTTACAAGTGGACGTATCATTACACATGGCAATCAGATACATCTCTGTGTGTGTATTTTACACAAGAACCCAGAACTCTTGCATGATTTGGCAAGCATGAGATTTCATTATTTTACTTAATTAAAAAGAACCTGGTTAGAAGTCTTCAGCATCTCTTTGCTGCCATTTCAATTTTTTTGGTAGTATATAAACAGTCTTGAGCAAGACTATCCTATGTTTTGCTCAATTAGAAACCAGACAATGTAGTGTAGTAGTGAAGGTGCTCTATTTGAACCAAGGAGATCGAGACTGAAGTTCCATTTCGACCATGGAGTTACTAGGTGATAACATCCTTACGCCAGGATGAAATAAGAAAACATCTCCCAATACACATTTATACCACTGTGAGCTCCCAGAGAGCTCCCATTTAGATTGAGTGTGATATAAATGCAATAAAAAACAAATAAATAATGCAACCCCAGCCCTCTGCAGATACTCACTTCTCATGGCTGAATGATACATGGGCAGGAGTTGGCACCACTACCTGCAAAGGCTCCGTTTCTTTCTCACGTCCATGGAGACACACCAGCTGGAACTCTGCTAGTCCAGCGAAGGATACCTCATGCCAGTTCCTAACTGAAAGGTACAGCAGAGAGTAACAAAACAGAATGAACTGTCAACAAACAATGATGATAATCTTTCCCCTGAAAGACCTCAGTGTTTTAGCCAACATTTATATACAGTGGGGCAAAAAAGTATTTAGTCAGCCACCAATTGTGCAAGTTCTCCCACTTAAAAAGATGAG